GGGGGGGGGGACGACAGTACGAAAAGGCGGCGCGCGGGTCGCTGCCGCAGCTCCTCGGCGGCCCGCACTTAACAGCGTGCGCCCCGGTGCAACCCTGGCTTTCCCTCCGCTGGACACCCGTGCCCCCTTCATCGTCCGCAACCAGAAGCCCAGTGCAGCCCCCGGAGCACCCTCTGCCCCGCCGCCGCTCCCCGGACCGCGACCCAGACCGCCCCGAGATGACCGCGACCGGAGCCCTCCTGCGCGTCCTCTTGCTCCTGCTGGCTTTCGGCCACAGAACCTATGGTGAGCCCCCCTGGCGGCTTGGCTCGCGCCCCCTCTGGGGAAGCCTGCGATGCCCCGCCGACCACCCCGCTGACCACCCCATATTCCCTGTCCCGTGCGCCCCAAGTCCCGCCCGTCCCGCCTAACACTAAGTCCCGCACTGCGCCCACCTCACCCTCCCTGCGCCGCTCTTGCGTGCTGAGCCCAGTTCCAGGGTCCTGGGATTTGCGGGAGGTGGAGGGTCCCAGCCCCTTATTGCCCCGGCAGAAGTGGCGTTCGGAGGGGTGTCGTTGCGCGGATTGAGGAGGTATGGAAAAAGGAGGCTGCACTGGGAGGTATTTTATTTAAGAAGAAAAAAAAAACGGCTCTGGGTGCAACTTTGGGGGTGTCTGTCCCTGCATATGTGCTAAGGAACAGGTCTTGGGGTCTTTGGGGGGATGATTTTACAGTCGTAGGCCCCAATTTCCAACAGGAGCAAAACCAGAACCCCTCCTGTGTGGCGCATTTCTCTAGGTGAGGGGCTGCGACACTTCTGTCTGCAGCAGCCCTCTGTCTCTAGCAGCTAGAGAGTTGCCCCCTCCCCGCAGCGACCCCAGGTCCCACTGCGCCAGTGGTTGTGTGTCGGTGGCTGGGGGCTGTCCGGTAAGCCTGAGAGTCGGTTGAATAGATGCAAACAGTAGGTGTCTATTAGTGTTGGAATCTGAGAGGCCCTGCAGAGCTATTGCGCAGTTCTTTTAATGTGACCAGTGTGAGGTAGGGAAAGCAGGAGAGAGAGACTTTGCCTTCCTGGTGTAACTGGGGTTAATCTTGGGGGGGAAATCTAGTTGCTTTACCTGTGAGCCAGGCAAGTGAACTTGTCTGAGCTTTCCTAGACCTCAAAATCTTTTCTTTAGCTCACTTTGCAAAAGTGAGCGATTGACGGAATGCCCAGAGGTCAAAGGCTACCTCTTCATTGTCCCCCATTCCTACTTTTAGTGGTCTGGGGGTTCCTATTTTCTTTGGAGAGAAAGGTGTCTGCTTTGCACTTGGAGAATCAGGGGTTTGCTGTGCTTACCCCATGGCTGCTAGGAGCAGGCAGGATTGTTTTCCTGGGTAGGTTGAACTACATCCATCCACAGACAAGAACTGCCTACTGTGTGCCAGGCTGGAAGGAGCAAGGGTCTTTGGATCCCCCCTGTCCCCCCTGCTGAGGGGCAGTGGGCCATTTGAGAGAAAATAGACTTGGTAGTGTCTTCCAGGCCTTGTGGGGGTGAATTGCGTACCTTCTTTTTCTTCCTCAGGGGCTGAATGCAACCCAGCCTGCGACCCCAAAAATGGATTCTGCGAGGATGACAATGTTTGCAGGTAATGGCGTAAGCTGCTTGGGAGCCATGGTGGGGTCCTGGGGGGTCTTGGGGCCAGGCTAAAAAAAAGGGATGCTTTTTTACAAAACTGCGTCACAGCTTCCTTGCTCCTGCAGAAACTGGCGGGGGGGGGGGGGGGGAGGGAGAGAAGGAGGGCATAGGAGAAGGGGGGCAGGAGAATGTCTTACAGGGTGAGACCATTGTGGGGGGTCACTGCATCAAATGTGGTTCTTGTGGGGGTCTGTAAGACCCTTGTTTCTGCTCTTGAGCGCCTTCTCTGAGTTTTCCATTCAGGTGCCTGCTGCCTGCTCCAGGGACCCACTGACCTGGCACTGTACAAAGACCACCAAGGGTTCTCCATTCAGCACAGAAACAGCCTGAGCCCTTTTGGGACCCCTGCTCCCCTCATGTGCCCCCCCTCTCCCTTTTGTTCACACAGGTGCCAGCCCGGCTGGGAGGGCCCTCTATGTGACCAGTGTGTAACCTCCCCTGGCTGCGTCAATGGACTGTGTGAGGAACCATGGCAGTGCATCTGCAAGGATGGCTGGGATGGGAAATTCTGCAACATAGGTGGGCACCGTTCTTGGCCCACCCTAGCCCCTTTTCCCTGGCCACCTCCCCCTCCCTGCCTGGAGCTGCGGTCTAGAACCCCTAAGACTCTCTATTTGTAGTATGTGATCTATAGGGCACATACATTTCCTGCTGGGCCTCAGAAGGAGAGACTGTATTTTGCTCACTTCAGCTCTGCAGGTTTCCAGACTGGGGGTGGGGTGGGGGGTTGTTGGGAAACTGCCCGTTGAATAAAGAGTTACAAAATAAAACCCAGCATGCCGGGGTGGGGGCACTTGAGCAGGTTACTGGAGCTGGGGTCAGGTTACTGGGTGGGGGTCTTTTCTGCGTGCTGTGGGAGGGATGATTCTCAGGGCTCAAACATCAAGAAAGGGGTGCCAACAAACAAATAGGGGAGGGGGACTGACTATGAATCACCAGGAAGGCCAGGGTTGGGGGGGCAGTCAGGTGTTGCAGGAGGTTGGTGGTGGGGAGAGGCTGAGGAAGGGTTAAGGTACAGACTGGTGTGATCTGCTAATATCACTAATTCATATGATCTTTGTAAAGTGACAGCTGCATTGTTGTAGGACCATTCTCATTTGCTAACGCTGTCCCCAAAGCCCAGGAAAACTGAGGTTCCGGGGAATAAAGGGTATGCGCGCCCCCCCCCAGATGGTATTCCATCAGGAAGGCAGACAGCTAGATGCCCCAGGACCTGTCTGTTTAGCATTGCCAGTGACAAATAGGGAAATCAAGGATCAGAAAAGCAAAAGGGGCTTCTGTACCCCAATTGTCTGCTTCCCTCTCCCCGAGTGGTGGGTGGGGAAAGATTTTTGCTGCAGCTGACTCATGCTCTGGTCACGACTCTGCAGCCCCTTGCAGCAGCAGCTACCATTATTTGAGGGGTGCTAGAAAAACCACTGACCAGGGCTAGGCTTTTAGCCTGGATCCCACCCTTCTAGATATCTGAATCCAGAAGAGCTTTCCAGACAGAATTCTCTATCACAGGTCCCTCAGCGTGCATAGCCCCCTCTCCATCAAAACCGCAAAGCCCATCTGCCTGGGTAGAAATGGTGGGGGTTGAGGATTGTCCCAGGGGGAACATAGCCCCTGGGTAATTGCTGTCCCTCTCCCTTTCTGCCTGCCTGGCCGCAGCTGCTATTCAAGAGGAGAGCCCCCTCAGCCCTCTCCTTGCGGCAGCTGATTCACCCCTGTCTTTGGGGTCGGAGGCTCTGGAGAAGTGGTATTTAGGGAGACTGAACAGTCTAGGGGTGGTCGCCAGATCATTATCTTAAATTAAGATTCCGAGTTTTGGGAGAGCAGGGGCAGAGAAGCCAGAGCTAACTTCAGAGGCTCAGTGCACTAATGCCTTGCTGGCACTGTCCCGGAAAGATAAATCCTCCTTAGGTTTCCTTGCACCACACCGGGATCCGCAGAGAGTCCACCAGCATGGTGCACAGGCTTTTCCATGGACGCTGGTCTCCCCTTCATCAGGGTGCAGGTCTCTTTGAAAAAGGAGAGAAGCTCTCCACGTGTGGTCTTAGCGTCAGGAATCCCTTCTCTGGGGCTGCCTTTACTTGCAGTCTCTGGCTTTCTACAGCTCACATTGTGGAAAACTCTCAGAGATCAGCTTACAGAGAGCTTTTCCTTTTACATGGAGGGAAACTGAGGCAGAGCAGGAAGGAACCGAACTCTGTGGGGCAGCAGGTTGGAGCAGCCACAAAGGGCCCCTTCCTGCCCCTCCTGGGCAGCTGGGGTCTCCACAGACAGAGAACCCTTGCCCTGAGCCCCTTTGTTCAGTTCATCCTTGGCTTGCTGAGCAGAATAATGAAGTGAGCCTGACAGGAGGTGTTAAAGCACTGGCAATACAGCAGTGCTCCTGGAAACCCGAACGGACAGGAGAGCGCTCAATAGTTTTAATTTTGCTGCCTTCAAAAGATGCAGCCTTTTTACCTTTAGACCCCCCTTAGTTCAGAACCAGAGAACAGAAGGACTAAGAGGTGGGGAGGTAGCCCTGGGGCTAAATTAGTCTTCTTATTTCCTGATGGGGATCTTTGATGGGAAAGTGTGAAAAGCTAGTGTTCTCCCCCCCCCCCCCCCCGCCACCCCGTACTAGTTCCCAAGGTGGCAGAGACCCCCTTCTCTAGCTGTGAGAAAGGAGCCTGACTTTAGGGAATCTTGGCTCACTCCCAGTTTTGTGGAGGGACAAAGGCTTCTGCGGTGAAGGTTGTGTTGCCACACTGCAAGGGTGCCAGGAAAAGGGTGCCGCTGCTTTTCTTGTTCCCCATGGCCTTGGCGTTCTCATTACTGACCTTCCAGTTCAGCTTCCTTACCCTCAGCACTTCAGGACTTCGTGGGGGAAATCACTGCACCCCCTTTCTACAAATCCCACTTGGAAATCACTAGCGGAGCCACTTGGGGTTCCTGTCACACTGGCCTCTGGGCACGAAAGCTAAGCACTGGCTTTTCTGCTTCCCAGATACACGGGCTTGCACCTCAACCCCCTGTGCCAACAATGGAACCTGCGTGGATCTCGAGAAGGGCGGGTACGAGTGCTCCTGCGCCCCCGGGTTCTCTGGAAAAGACTGCCAGAACAAAGCTGGGCCCTGCGTGATCAATGGGTAAATAGTCGGAAGACCCTTTCAGCCTACCCCCCCACCCCGTAGGACCTGTCCCCTGATGAGAGAAGTGCTTCAGGCAACCCCTGCCCCACCTTCTGCTCTCATGGGGTAGGGGGCCTTGGTGCAGGAATGTGCCATTTCCATATTTTTTTTCAAATGGTTCTGAAGGCAATTTCATATTCCCCTGACGTCCCCAAGTCCTGATGCCAGTGAATGACAGCAGATTGAGATGGGGACAGAGATGCCAAGCTGTATAATTTTCTAAAGGCGACATAATAAAAGATCAGAGTTCAGGAGGACCAGACTGTGAAACCAGCTTGGCGTGTTGCAGGAGGCAGTTTAGGGCATTGCAATTGGGTTTTCTGGGATGTCGGAGGAGATGGGAGGGGTCACTATTGGATAGCCACAGTGGGGAAGAGGCTCTGGGGCTCCTGTCCAAGATCCAGGAATCTGCAGGGGCATCAGACAGTCAGGAACACAGGGGTCTAAAGATCGGTACTCAGGAAGGACATCGGTGACCATTGAACCCCACTGCAATTTACTAAAGGGAAAACACAGGACAAGACCTTTTGGCTTGTTCTCTTCCAACGGACTTGATCTAGTCTGTCAAAAGAGAGTCTGGGGGCCCTGAGGAAATTTTCAGAGCCCAACTCCTTACAGTCCTAGGGCTGAAGTCACAATGCTGTGTGTTGAGGGGAGGGGGCTTTTCTTTACCTGGAGGTTTGGCATTTATCAGATGACAAAGGGCTAGCTCCTTTAAAAGCACTTACATGAAATGCTCCATGGGCTGCACTTGGGCGAAGGGACCACTGTTAAACAGTTCGCCCTAGAGACCACTCCCGCCAGTATAGATAGGACCAGTATTTCTTTCGCTGACAGCCCCAGGGGTTTCCTTCACAACAACTGGCTGGGCCCACTCCACTAGGAATAAAAATAATAAAGGGTGGGGTGGAGTGGGTGGCACACACACTGGAGCCCTGACTAACAGCAGACCTCCTCTTGGAGAGCCCAGACCTGAGGGATCTTACCGTAAACTTGGACTGTTACTAATACTCCCTCTCCCAGCCTCAGTTTCCCCCATCTGTCTAGTGGCTGACACTCTATGCTCTGGGCTGAGAGGAGGGAGAGGGCGTGAGAGGTTGGTTCTGTTCGAGGTTGACAAGGCTGACGACATGGCAGGGTGAGGTGTACATGCACCCCACCCTTGGACAGCTGGTGAGCCTCCAAGCCTGGGGTGCCATCCCCAGATGCCCACCTAGTTGGCGTTAAACCATTCTTAGCCCGATGTGTTTTGAGCCCTGCCCTTTTCTCAGATCCAAAGGAAGGTCCAGAGAAACGGAGCCTCACCTCTGCCCTCTACCCTCTTCCCCTACTGCTCTGTCCTAGCCCAGCCCCCGAGGGCCCTTTACCTTGTCTATTGTGTTGTAGTTCCCCCTGCCAGCACGGAGGTGCCTGCGTGGATGATGAGGGCCAGGCCTCGCATGCTTCCTGCCTGTGCCCCCCTGGTTTCTCTGGCAACTTCTGCGAGATCATTGCCAACAGCTGCACCCCTAACCCATGTGAGAATGATGGCGTCTGCACCGATATCGGGGGCGACTTCCGTTGCCGCTGCCCAGCCGGATTCGTCGACAAGACCTGCAGCCGCCCGGTGAGCATCTGCGCCAGTGGCCCGTGCCTGAACGGGGGCACCTGCCTCCAGCACACCCAGGTGAGCTACGAGTGTCTGTGCAAGCCCCCGTTCATGGGTCCCACGTGCGCGAAGAAGCGCGGGGCTAGCCCCGTGCAGGTCACCCACCTGCCCAGCGGCTACGGGCTCACCTACCGCCTGACCCCCGGGGTGCACGAGCTGCCAGTTCAGCAGCCCGAGCACCGCATCCTGAAGGTGTCCATGAAGGAGCTCAACAAGAGTACCCCTCTCCTCACCGAGGGACAGGCCATCTGCTTCACCATCCTGGGTGTGCTCACCAGCCTGGTGGTGCTGGGCACCGTGGCCATCGTCTTCCTCAACAAGTGCGAGACCTGGGTGTCCAACCTGCGCTACAATCACATGCTGCGCAAGAAGAAGAACCTGCTGCTGCAGTACAACAGCGGCGAGGAGCTGGCGGTCAACATCATCTTCCCCGAGAAGATCGACATGACCACCTTCAACAAGGAGGCTGGCGACGAGGAGATCTAAGCAGCATCCCCCCAGGCCCCTCCCTATTATGGGGGTTCCGCAGAGCTCACTATATGCGGTCTGTGCTTCTCTTTCTGGTGCAGTTTGCTCTCTTTTGTGTGGAATCTAGTGAACGCTACGCTTACGTGTATTGTCTTTGCATCGCTGTGTGACATGCTGCCATGCTACATAAGAACCCCCTTTTCTCCCTCTTAATGCATGATAATGAATAATAATAATATCTCTAAATGAGTTAAAGAAATAAGTATGTTATTCTAAACTCTTAAGTATCAAATATCAAATAATATAAAATCAAAAAAGACCAAAAAAAAACATGGTAACAGAACCAGGGCTTGGTACTGAGGTCCCTCTCCCAGGGGGCTTTCAGCTACCTGGTCCTCGTGCAACCATACGAATGCTGTACCTGACCACTCACTGTGAAAAGGGCTAAACTCTTTCGTTCGTTAATTCTCACACACCGCTTCGGCTGTCACCCACATCCAGTCTCACACCGCAACCCTTAGATCTTTCCAGTCGATTTGTGACTTTGCAGTGTGTAGTGGCTGTGTGTCCGGCAGAGAGAGACCCCAGGTTGGCTGCTGGCAGACAGGTCAGGACCCAGTCCCAGCCCTGCCACTCCCTCGCTGTGTGACCCTTAGCGAGACCCCCATTCCAACCCTGGGCCACCTCCCCACCCCTCTCTTGAGGGAGGGGTGGAAATACCCACACCACCAAGGCTCTCTCTAGCCCCAAAATTCAGAATTAGGAACGAGGGATACATACCAAAACAACTCCTGACTCCAAGAAGAGGATCTGATGGAGACTTGGTCTCATCCTGGGATCCGAAAGGTTTTGGCCTATCCTGGCTGTACACTTGATATTGAAGTCGATCCCAATAGCGTTTCTCAAAGTGGGGAGCCTCCTGGCTCATGTCCAGTTTGGGAAAAAATTGGCCCCTTTAGGTCAAAATGTGCCATTTGGTGTTGCTTCTTGAGCAACCCACGCCCCACCCTAGCTCAGCCCTGCCCAGCCCCATACCCCCCAGGCTCCACCCTCCACTCACCTCTTTCCCCCTTAGAGTAGCCATGAAATGCTTTCAGACTTAAGTGTACCTTGAACCACAAGTGCCCCCTGGCAAAATCTGAGCGAGCAACGCAGCCCTCACCAAGGTTTTCACAGGCTTTAGTGGAAATTGCTGCTTGTGGGGCGCTTTCTTGTTCTATGGCGAAAGTGGGATAGCACCTGACCACAGCCATGGAAGTCCCCTTGTGTTGCTGAGAATACGACCCTCAGATCCCAAAAGACCTAGCCAGCTTTTGAATTATGAATTTGCTTTTTTAAAAAAGAGCTTCTATCTTTTTTTTTTGCAAAATAAAAAAACAAAAAATAACAAAAAAAAAATAGAAAGAAATGGGATAGAGTCCTGTGTAGCTTCCCAGCTCTTATTTGGGGTCTGGTTGCTACACAGTCCTTGGGTCTCGGTTAGGAATCCTTTGCTTCTTAGGTTACTTGGGTAGGAACCTATGCTCTTAGCTTTAAGTGTGAGCCATGTTTACCTTGCTCTGAATACTTGCTTGCAAGTCATTGTCACCATTATCTACTGTCATTCAAATCATAATCACAGCACACACTCACTACTTCATGATCATCACCCATTGGTCAGTCATGTGCGTCACCGTTGTCACACATTATGGACCTTATCACCCTTCAACCTCTACCCTGGGGTCATTTCACCAAAAGCCCTGACTCAAAGAATCCCTTCCCAGTCATTGGTCATCATCAGCCCAAGCCCCTCCCAGCCCCACCCTGAAGCCCCTCCCCATTTCACCCCACCCTCATCCTGATGAGGGTGTGTCCCAAGTCCCCAAATTCCTGCCTCCTGGTCCCTTGCCTGGTCCCCTGACTCCCTTCCTCCCTCCTCCAAGATCCCCTCCCCTGCCTCCAACCAATCCCCTCCCTGAGGCCACCCGCCCCAATCAGGCCATCATCCCATCTCATATTAAGAAAAAAATCTTAAAAAATTTAAAAAAATCACTAACAATTATTGACATTTGCCAGGCTGGTGTCAGATATACCCCCTGGCCTCTTTCAGCGTGAGACCTTGACAGAGTCTGCTGACAATTCTGTTCCTCAGTTTCCCCAATGTGAAATTCTACAATTGGACAAAACAGATTATTTCTCCACTCCACTTTTTCTTTTTGATCTCCATGTTGTGGAGAGCAGCCACATCTCCGAGGATAGGGGGTCCGGCTGTTCTCCCAGCAAGTCCTCATCCATCCAAAGTATTCATCATTCAACATTCATCCAGTCAGGGAGCGTTTCCAAGCACCTGCAGAGTGTAAGGCGGTGTGTTCTTGGAGCTGTGGGCTGTGCGGGCTGAGGGGAACATTCTGGGAGGGGAGCAGATGTACAGGTGTCCCCAGGAAGCCAAGCACAGTACAGGTAAAAAAAAAAACAACAACAACAACACCGTGGGAGAGTCCTGAGCAGACGCCTCCCTCAGCGTGCTACCATTACACCTTCCCACGTGACAAAAGATCAAGAGACCAGCACCGATGAGGCCGCCCTGCCAAATTCCACAGCGTCCACCCTCCACACAACAGGAGCAGTCTTCGTTTGCAGCCTCACCTTGGTCTTCACGTCTGCAGATCTGCGAGAATGTCAGATCTCTGGCTGCCCATACACATCTCGTGTTTGGTGTAGTGCAGTTTCGTTCAGCGGGTGGAGTAGCTGAAAGATGGCTGTCTGGGACATCTTTACTAATTCGGTTCCAAATTCACAGTGGCGATAATTCTGTAACCAAAATGTTAACAAAATGTCCATCACGACGCGCTTTCTAGCCTCCCCCATCTCTTTTGCAGGCAAGTCCAGACGCAATGCAAAAACTAAACGACAACTTGTTTGTTCGTTTAATAAAGGGAAAAGGGCTTTACTTGTGTTTGCTATTGATTTGTTATTCGCCAGTTACACTAACCCCTCCCAGGGATGGCCTTAAACACAGGCCAGGGGTATTGAGAGCTCTGCTCTGGTCCAGCTCCAACTCTTTCGGCGTGGCCTGGTGCCACAGTGTTAAGGGGAAACCCTTGGACCACCATCCATTACCTGCCTTGCTTTTACTTGGAGAAATTTGAAATCCAGGCATTTCCTGACTATGGTGACCAGGGCTTGGGAGACCTTGTCTGTGTCTAGCTCCGTAAGTGTGGCTGCCCATGGGAGCTGTGGATGGATCTGGGACACGAGAGGGATGGGGCAAGGAGAGGGGACCAAGCAATTCACGCTTAAGAAACTAGTTCTTTCCGTGCACCATGCTTGGGCGCAGAGCTCTGTGGAATCCTCCAGGGATTTCCACAGTTATTGGAGGGCGGTCCCTAAGGTGAGAGAGAATATATAGGTTGAGGGACACCCAGCAAGGGGACCTTGGACCCTGGCAGTGTGTAGGCTCCTTTTGTACTCCTAATTCCGTCTCTATATGTCCTGGTGGTATCTGCTTCTTCTCCAATCCCAGGGCACCATTAGCCATGCATCCAGTCAGCGAGTGTACCCCTCCCAGCGTCCCACTCCAGAGAACTACCTCGCACATGCAGCCTTGGGAGCCTCAGTCCCTGCTGATCCTTGGTTTAGTGTCCCATCTCTGGCCTCTCCCAAGACCTGTCCCTTGCCTGTCCAGCTGCCCAGACTCAGAATCTGGTATCTCTGGGGGATCACCTCCTTGCATTGCCCACCCTCCTGACTCCTCTCACCTCTTTCTAGCCTCGTACTCGGACCTCTTAGAGGCCCAGGCCCCTTTCCCTCCTTGCTTCTCTGGCCTTTGTGCCCCGTGGCCCATCCCTGTCTGAGCACAGATGAAGCAGAGTACACAGGAGGGACTAGAAGGGGACATAAGATCTCAGACATGGGCACTGTCCTAAAAGCTGTAGGAAGATAGCATGTTCACGTGGAGTTAGGAAACATAAAAGCATCTACTCCGGGAATATGTTTTCTATGAAGATATTAACCCACAAATTCTTCAGCATAACCAGTGAGATAGAGCAAGATCCCAGGAAACAAGGCCAACCTGACCCAGGGTCTCCAGCACCCAAGGCTGAAGGAATGAACAATGCCCAGGTTATGGACACTGACTCAGAGGACAGTTGGTGGGCTAGGGAGCATTCAGCACGCGCACTGGGTGACAGTCACCTTCTTCATCTCCGAGGAAAGAAGCAGACCCTCAATAAAATAGCCACATGGGGTTTTAGAGATCCATGACGAAGCACGTCTAACCAAATGTTAGATGAAAGGTCCAGGGGCCTTAGAAGTCTTAGGGTAGGGGATACCCAGAGAGAGGCAGGGGGGATGCTTGAGTTAGGAGGGACCATGGCTGTGAGATGCCCCCTGAGACCACATCACAGCATGGGCACAGCGGTGGGAAATCCGAGGCTCTCCTGGTCTACAAAGGGGACCCCCCCCTCCACACACACACAAAGTTATTTATTGAATTTCCTCTGCCCACGTGGCTCTGCTGTCCATCAGTCTGTTTGCCCCTGCTGCTCTTTCTGCCTCAACCAGGACCCCACTCTGCCTCCCCAGCCAGCCTTACAGGAGTTACAGTTAGACTCCAGAGACTTTTGTGCTAGAGAATGGACCCTGGGAGGGTGTGGAACTTTTAAGAGATGGGGCCAAGTCGGGGTCTTTAAATCATTGGGGTCGTGCCCTTTTGGGCCTTAGCAACTTTCTACCTATGAAGTAGCAATGTTTTCCCTCCAGAATGTACCCCTACAAATTCAAGCAGTGGAGTCAGCTACCTGTGAAACCATTCTATGTACCTATGTTTGATTTCTTCCTTGTCTTACAATGTTGGGGAAGGTCTCCCTGTCACCCTCAACAAACACCTGCTCAATGAATCACCCACCTCCTGCTCAGAGGAAGGAAGGAACCCAGGACTCGGTCAGCTGTGCAGGAAGACTATGCTCACCCAGCCCATGGAGGGTGTTGGGTTCTGCATGCTGTTTCATCATGCCCAGGGCAAAAATGAAAATACAGGAGGTAACTCGACTGTGACCCAGGAATTCATGAAAAGAAGGAGGAAAAAGGTCTCCTTAATGTCATAAATAAACAGCTTGCCTTAAATTAATATGCAGCAGTTTACTGACCAGGATGACCTACGGGAATGTAAGTCTAGGGCTATACAGCAGGTGATGTGGAAGGGTTGTATCGGCTCAGGACCCCCATGACCAAGTTCTCAGCACAAAGGAAATTTATTTCCCCTGGAGAGA